CGGACCTCTGACGACACCTGGGTATCCATGGTGAGCGCCGGGTCCAGATGTACACCCAAACTGCAAACCTCACTCTTGGTGGTAAGAGTCAGCCCCCCCAAAGGAGAGGGCGTTTCCCAAACCACAGATGTCTGGGACACTCTCTGGGATAATGTCCAGGTCTAAAAATCTATGAATTTCTAAGTTTTAACACTTTTTGCACAAATTTCCCCAAAACCATCTCTCTGATTCATTCATCTCTTGCTAATCTCTTATTTCTCTTCAAGAAAAAGTCGAAAGTCATGACAGATCAGATGACATCCAACATGTTTTTCCCCTTCCCTGCTTTTCACATTTATTTTTACCTTGAATTCTCAGCTGTAAAAATCATTGCTTTTTTGATTGTGCAACTCAATTACTGTACCTTTCTACATTTTATGTATTTCCTGAATTTGGGTACCTTCTTACATCAGTTTAGGACGTTTTTATTGCTGACTCTTTGATTCCAGTAAGTTTTAAATCAGGAGCTTTTAAATCATGCCTCCCCTCCTCTTCCTCAAGCCTTTTGAACCTCCCGCCACAAACAACTTGTTCGGAGAGACCAGCTTCTTATTTGTGTGTAATTGTTGGAAAAAACACGCAAAAGGGACAGTCATCTTATTCAGCAAAACTCCTCCAGAAAACGACATTAAAAAGCCCTCTTAAGGAGTAGTTGAATGAAGTAGCAATTGGGGAAAGCAAAATAAGGACCATACTCTTTGTAATAATTGGGACGCAACTCAGTGATGGTCTCGGGTGAGCGAAACTGACGGTTGCCTCTGTAAGAGTTAAAAGCAACAGAAGGCAAGTTTCCTAGAGAGGCAGGTAAGAGAGAGGAAGAGGCGGGATCTTTCTCCGGAAACGGTCATTCCCCCACAAGTCCGTCCTTCTTCAGAGGCGGCAACCTGAAGGACTTGAAGCCACATTTTTTTCTGGACTACAACTCCCATCTGTTTTAGATTTTTGCTGTCAGTAGTCTGAAAACGTAACTTTGCCATGCTTTGTGGCCACCAGATATCCAGATCTCCAAAACTGCCCTTTACCTTTAACTTTACTATAATTCCCAGAATCCCTACCAAGTTGGCCCGGGGACTGGAATGATGGGAGTTGTGGTCTGGAACAGATCTTCCTATCAAGAAATGGGATACCTTATCTTTTGGAACTATAACCTTGGTGGCCCTGCTGGCTGGGGATTCTAGGACTTGTAGTGGGGATAAGAAACAAAGCTCTGAGCCCCTCCGGCCTGTGGACCACGTTTGCCAGAAGGACCTCGGCGGGTGGCTGGGCCGGAAAGGAACGGCGTTACATTCCTGAAAGGGGAACGGAGCTGGGCTGGACGGGCGAAGGGAGCAGCTCCTCTACAGAGACTTTTCTTCCTCTCTCTGGCAGGGCGAAGGCTTTCTTCTCCCTCCCGAGGTCTGGTAGGTGTCCTTTCCAGTCTTCTCCCCCCCCCCTTTTTTTTTAATGTCGTTTTGACGTCTTTTAATTCAGTGGCTGCTTTTAACATAGGCATCTATTGCTAAATTGTTGCTTCACTATATAAAAAACTGTAGAGGGGAATCTTTTTAAAGTGTATCTACTTTACTTCCTATCGTGAGCAATCCTGGGTCTTGCCCAGATGAGAGAAGATGAATTAATCCGTCCCTAGCAAAGGCCTCCTCGCAGCCCGTAGGGCAAAAATTCATTGGGCGATTTCCTCCTTCCAGGGCTACCTGGGCGTGTCTTCCTCTCTTCCTTTCTGCAGAACTAGGGCTTGATATTCAGGGGATGGGCTAGAAAAGAGAAGAGTAGATTCCTTGATGCTCCTGTTACGCAAATCTTAAAAATCCTTACCCTGTTGATCAGGAAAGTTGATATCTCTTAAGGCTTCCTGGAATAGTGTGGGCACCAACTTCCCAAAGGCCCTAACTTAGTGGGTGTGCTGGCTTAGGCTTTTGGGAGTTGTGATCTGAAGATCAAGGTGGGTGGGTGGGCTATGTTTGGCATCTCCTTTGGCAGTAAAATTTACTGTTTACTTAATGTTTAAGGAACAGGGATGGGAGAATTTCGGCGATTTCCCATTTTGGAAGTACCATTAAGAGCCAAGTGAGCCTGATAATTGTTGTGTGCTGTCAAATGTCATCTGACTAATGGGGCCCGATCAAGGTTTTCAAGGTATAAGATGCACCCCTAGTGCCTAGCAGTGACTTGAACCCGTGTCCCTTGAGTCCTCATCCACCACTGTATCCACAATACAGTATAATACTGAGTCTCAACTCATCCTTTGCTAGTTTTATCCGGATAGGATACATCAGGATACTGTACCTCTTTTGTACAGACATCTAGTTGCAGGAATCTGGGCGGAAGGAGCTTATTGCACCCAAAGAAAAAAGCAGAGGTGGTCCATCCCGCTTGCCATAAGGCCCAAAGCATAAGTACTCTTAGGAAGAAAGTGCTGCTCTGTGTGAATTTGTGCTCTGCCTGAGAAAGCCAACTCTTAAGTTCTGATGCCCAAGTTTATGTGAGAGAAGGCCTCTGTGACAAAACAGAGGAACTAGACCATGAAACAGATCAGCCGGTGTTAGCATTAGCAAAGGATTCGACTCAGGACCAGCCCTGACATGAGGCTCAGTGATCAGTTGTCTTAGGTGACTGATGCTGAGCGCTGGCAGAAAAATCTTGAAAGACAGAGGTTTCCTCCAGAACCCAAGCTTGCCTGTTTCTTAGCAGCAGCACTAATGGAGGCGGGCCAAGATTGGGAAATTTTAGAATATGAAGCATCGTGTGCCAAGCTTTGACAAGCTCACGCCTCACAGCAGTGGTGAGGGGCAGGCTTCTCAGAGGAGCCGATCATCTTCTCTTGTTGTATTCCCTGGGGGAAGGAAAAAAACATTATTTTGGTGTCCTGATTGGGAAATCTGAGGGAATCAGGATGCAAAATGGCCCCACTGCTTCGTTTTCCTGCTTCTGGTGTCTTTATTTCTCAATGTTTTTTCATAACATTGGGCATTTCATCCGATATTATATAATCTCAAGATGGGATACAACAGTAATTCTACTGTTGAGGAGCTAAAGCCAAGAAAATCCTCTCTTCCACATATCCACAGCTTGCATTGCTGTTGACTACAGAAAAGGCCTCTTTTGCAGGGAAGGGGTTGAGGGATAATAGACTGAGGCTGAACCCAGACAAAATGGACATCCTACGGGTGGGTGTCCCTAGTGCCTGCAGATTGGGAGCCTCCCTTTCCTTTGGGAGAGCGTACACTCTGCCACGACATTAGCAGTTCTTCTCAACCCAGGACTATTGATGGAATCTCAGGTAGCATGGGTGGTCCATTCCATCCTCTTTCATTGTAGCCAGATTGTCTTCCTTGACACCAGACGTTATATCACGAAAAGAGGTCGAATGTTTTGTGCTATCCTCCGGCAGAGAGGAGCGTGGTATAAATCTCATCTTTGGTTTCTTTTAGCATCTTAATTGGTGACAGAATTAGCCTCCTCACTAATGTGGGTGAAGGAGGGCTCCCCGAGAGCTAGATTTTGTTCTCCTGTATCCTCCGTGGCAGTTCACAGGGGTTGGTTCCTTGATTTGAAACCTGTTTTCCCACACACTTTTGTTTTGTCTCATATTAGCAGGAAAAATGTTGGAGAGAAGAAATGGACAAGGTGGACATCAAGTACCAGAGGAAGGGGTTGAATGTTTTGATGCCAAAGAGGAGGTTGAGAATCAAGATGGAAACAGGAATCTTGGAGGAAATCAAGTAGATGAGCAGATGGATATATCCATGGCTTGTCCAGAGGATGTCCATCAGAAAATATCCGAGGGAGAGCGAAGCCATGAGTGCCCCAAGTGTAGGAAAACCTTTACCCATAAATCAGCTCTAGATCGCCATGAGAAAGTTCACAAAGGGGAGAAACCATTTACATGCCTGGAGTGTGGAAAGAGTTTCAGTCAGTCTGCAAACCTTGCTAAACATCTCAGTATCCACACAGGTGAGAAACCATTTGAATGCTTGGAGTGTGGGAAAACCTTTAGACTGAGAGAAATTCTTATTATTCATGAACGAACTCACTCAGGAGAGAAGCAGTTTGAATGTCTGGAGTGTGGAAAAAGCTTCTGTCACCGTGCAGCCCTTGTTAGGCATCACAGGACTCATACAGGTGAGAAGCCATTTAAATGTCTGGAGTGCGGAAAGAGTTTCAGTCAATCTGGAAACCTTGCTACACACCTCAGGACCCACACAGGTGAGAAGCCATGTGAATGTCTAGAGTGTGGGAAAACCTTTGGACAGAGATCACATCTTACAACCCATGAAAGAATTCATTCAGGGGAGAAGCCATTTACATGTCTGGAGTGTGGAAAGAGTTTCAGTCAACGTTGGAGCCTTGCTACACATCACAGAACCCACACAGGCGAGAAGCCATTTGAATGCCTGGAGTGTGGTAAAACCTTTGGACTGAAAGCACATCTTATATCTCATGAAAGAATTCACTCAGGCGAAAAGCCATTTGAATGCCTGGAGTGTGGTAAGACCTTTGGACTAAAAGCACATCTTATATCCCATGAAAGAACTCACTCAGGGGAGAAGCCATTTAAATGTCTGGAGTGTGGGAAAAGCTTCAGTCACCGTGGAGACATTGCTAGACATCACAGGTCCCACACGGGTGAGAAGCCATTTAAATGTCTGGAGTGTGGAAAGAGTTTCAGTCAGAGTGCAAACCTTGCTACACACTTTAGGAGCCACACAGGAGAGAAGCCATTTGAATGCCAGGAGTGTGGAAAGACCTTTCGACTAAAAATATCCTTCACTAATCATCAAAGAATTCACAGAGGGGAGAAACCATACAAATATGTGGCATGTAGAAAGAACATCAGTCAAAGTGTAAAGTTATTTAAATGTCTGGAATGTGGAAAGGAATTCAAGAGGCATGCAAACCTCACCTTACACCAAAGAATTCACACTGGGGAGAAACCGTACACATGTTTCGATTGTGGAAAGACCTTCAGCAGGAGCACAAGCCTCACTTACCACCAAAGAGTTCATACTGGGGAGAAACCATTTGACTGCCTGGTGTGTGGAAAAACCTTCAGACTGAGGGCAGTCCTTATAGTCCATCAAAGAACCCACACAGGGGAGAAGCCATTTAAATGTCTAGTGTGTGGAAAGACTTTTAGCCAGAGCACAAACCTGACGTCTCATCAAAGAATCCACACAGGGGAGAAACCGTTTGAATGTCTGGAGTGTGGAAAAGCCTTTAGAGTGAAAACACTGCTTACGGACCATCAAAGAATCCACACAGGGGAGAGACCATTTAAATGTTTGGAGTGTGGAAAAGCTTTCCGTCTGAAAGAAAATCTTTCTTCTCATCATAGCATCCACACAGGTGAAAAACCATTTGAATGCCAGGATTGTGGGAAAACTTTCAGGAAAAAAAGTGGTCTCATTTCCCATGAAAAAATTCACATTGGGGAGAAACCTTATGAATGTCTTGAGTGTGGAAAAAGCTTCATTTGTGGTGTCGATCTTATTAAACATAAGTGTACCCACAAGGGGCAGAAATCCTTTAAGTGTCTGAAGCGTGGAAGGCATTTCAGTCAAAAGTCAAGATTTGCTATCCATCAAACCATCCACAAAGAAAAGAAACCATTTAAGTGTCCAGAATGTGGAAAGGCCTTCAGACTGAAGTCTCATCTTGAGGTGCACTGTAGAACTCACATTGCAGAGAAAAGTTATAAATGCCCCGAGTGTGGAAAAAGCATAAAGTCAGCTCATACCCTTAGAATATATAAAAGAGTTCATACAGGGGAGAAACCCTTTAAGTGGCAGGAGAGTGGAAAGAAGTTCCGTCAGAGAGGTAAACTTACTATGTGTTACAGAATCCACACAGGGAAGCAGCCCTTTAAATGTCTGGAGTGCGGAAAGAGCTTCAATTGAAGGCATCACCTTCATTCTCTTTAAAGGATATAGAGGAGAGAAGTTGTTTAAATGCATCCACCCCTGTTGCAACACTCCATGTAGGGCTGGATACCTTCAGTTATCCTGATGAGTTGTAGAAGACAAAGATGGAGAGTCAAACGGGAACAGAAAATAGAGAATGGATGGTAGATGGTGGTGGCATTTTTAATCTCATAGAAGGAAACCTTATGAACTGTTATGAGTTATTGTTGGAAAATTACCTTCTGGGTTAATAAATACAGTACTGTTGATTTGAAATGTTCTGCATACTCATGCCTGAATCTAGGAGAGGAGGAAGACATTGGTGGTCCCAAGGGGACTGGAAGAACAAAATAGATACTAGCAGCAGGAGGGGTCACAATTACTGATTACAACAATAATCATATTTTGGTTATGTAGTTGAAATTCCTTGATAACCCCCTTTAAAATATGAGGAGGGCATTTGCTGGAATCAAAGTTCTGTAAAAGCATCAAGTGCCTCAAAATAGTATGGTGTTGCATGATTAACTTGGAAGTTGATACCAAACAGAGAATGATGACCTGACAATGGCAGGGCTATCTTGGTTAGAATTGGAATCAAAGATCCAATTGCTAAGAGCAGGAGAACCGAGATAGAGAAACCTTTCCATAGAAAAATTGTAGGCCCTTAACTTATCACAAGACTGCTGCACCCATCCTCCAGTCTGTGGATACTTCAGCTAGCAACACTTCGTCAATGGTTCTCCAAACCACTGTAGAGACATTTTAATTGGATCTGGTTCCAGTATTAACAACAGTACAGTATTAAAATTGCCAAAGACGTCTGATACATGTTTGTGAATTCCACATGGGGCATCAGGCTGGGCTCCAGAGGTAAGAGTGGCACAGTAGATAGATGTTTCACAGCTCATGTACATGCAGCGTTCTGTTAAAGTTTCAAAATGGGGGTGCAGGCTCATGTCAGATGTGCAGATTTGTGGATTCAGATGTCTCTCCCAATCTTGAAAAAGTTGCCAGTTGTTCAGTGCCCCCCACCAGCCTTATATGGAAATACATGGTCTCTTTTTGGTTGGAGGCTGAGACACACTGAAATGAGGGAAACCTCATATCGGGGGGGGGGGGGTATGACATAAAATTTATTCTGTATACTAGGTGAGCTGACTGCAGCCAAATTAAGACTGGGCATGTTTAAACGCCACATTTTAAGAAAGGTATCAACAAAAATGTAGGAGAAAGAATAAAATTTTATTTATTTACTGTATTTATGTCTGATCCCTAAATTTATTTGTGCTCTTGGCAGAATGGAAAAGAAAAAATGGAAAAGTTCTTTGCAGTGAATTCATCCTGGGATCCAGGCAGGATTAGCTCCAAAATCCATGCCCAGCAATTTAATTAATGCTGAAACAAAATAGTAGTTTTCTTCTGAAGCTATCTAGATTTTCACTCCCACAGAATACATTGTTTTACTCGCAAAACTTGTTGACAGGAGCAAATGATGATTTTGGAAGAGCTGGCATGTCAAGCTTACTCTCCTGTCTGCTTTTAATGTGACTGTGTATATACTGTATATTGTGTTTTCTTTGTCTTGTAATGTTCTTACTGAGTGAATGAAAAACACATCGCCTTACTCTTTATGAGAATAGATAAGGTGTCTGTATTTTTGTTGTGAATCTAGTTCTCCCTTTTTTTCTTTAGTTTTACATGTAAATGTTTCCAAAGGTTTGATGAAATGTTGGACTATACAGGTAACATTCTGGATCAGCACAGCACCTCCAGCATGAAAAGGGAACAGAATCGGATACTACTTTTCAGCAGTAGCTGAATGAACTGATGTGATATGCTTGTGCTCTAAAACATTTACCTAACATAAAGCCTGCTGAAGTTACAGGGTACAGTGTTCCAGTGACTTAGCTTATGCACAAATAAGAGGAGCTGTGTGTACGAAACACTCATAAGATGATCTAACAGAAATACTTTCATTGCTCTAATTCCTGAATACTGTATGATGTTTTATTTCTGAAACAGAATTGAAAGAGTGTGTACAGTTCCTTACTTTTAGGTGAATATGTACATCTTTTCATTTGCAAATGAAATGTATACAGTATGTGTGCTTTTGTGAATTAAAATACCACTTCATCAGGCTTGTACCAGTGTGAAGAAATTAAAGTCCAAAAGTTCATGGCAGGATGGATTTTGCCAAGCACATCTTTCTTAGAAGTATGGGAAGCAATGATTGTTGTTTTAAGGTTACAGCTGAAGTAGGAGTGGATTTACATCAAACAAAGATGTGCTTGGCAAAATCCAATACCTGTACAGTACTTTGATTTCTGCAGGAATGCTTGTATAATTACTGGATAAAGTAGTAGCAAGGTTAGCTGAAAATGAACACCTAGTAAATTTTGGCAAAAGAGGGATTTGTAGGATATGAACTGGCTCCAAATGGAAGACTACCATCTTCACCATTTATAGCAAAACTAGAAAAAAATCCAAACCCAGTACAAAGAAACAACTGGAATGTTAATCTTTAAAATGCAAATACAAGAATAGGCAATACCTTTACAGACCACTAAGACATGACCCCCTAGTCTCATCCCAGAGAAATGGCCCAGAAGGATACCATGGTTGAATGTTTTGAAAGCCACTGAGAGGTCCAGCAGAACCAATAGGGACACACTCCCCTTGCCCATGCCAGTGCATGTCAGCCACCAAGGCAACCCAAGCAGTCTCTGTCCGATAACCAAGCCTGAAGCCAGGTTGAAATGGATATAGATAATCCATCTCCTCCAGGAACCCCTGGGTTGAGAAACCACAACATGCTCCCGCACTTTGCCCAAAAATTTTGCCAGTACTTTGCCAGTCTCTGCCAGTAATTATCCAATACCATGGGGACCAAGGAGGGTTTTTAAACTATTGGTCTTACTACTGTCTCCTTTAAATTAAAACATTTGGAGTGTGTAAAGAAATTAAAGAAGCACTCAACATTCACTCTGTACCAAAGAGTTCATGCTGGGGAGAAACGTAATAAACATGAAGAGGGTGGTAAGACTTTTAGACAGACCAGAAAGCTGACTTCCCCATCAGAGAATACAGACAAGAGAGAAGCCATTTGTATATCTGGAGTGTGGAAAAGCCTTTAACCAAGTGGGCTACTTTACAACAACAAAGTTTATATCAAAGAGAAATGGCTCATTTTGAAAAGGCCACAAAACTCTTGCTTGTGTTTGCTGGGAGAGACAAATATACTCCCACCCAACCACTCCAAAAAGAGTTGGAGAAACAGTATGTTGTGTATTCTTAATCTCACAATCTGGATTTGCTAACTGATCTCCTGAGGATACTGAGGAGTTTAATAAAAGATTACTAAAACTTAATCCACTAAGTGACTTCTTTATTCATATTTATAAATGTATTGCCGTATTTATATCCATATTACAAAGCTGCCAGACATAGGGTTTTTTTTAATTATAAATGTTTTTGTCCTGCCCTTTGGAAAGGTAAAACAACATAGCTAAATAATGACTGAAATAAAAGAATAGAATATCAGGAATAAGGGTCTTGTGACCTACCCATCAGTTCAGGAAGGGACAGGATCCTTGTATGTCACATGCCATCCAAGTTGGAACTGACTGACAGCAACTCTGATCAGGTTTGCAAGATGAGTTATGTAACAAATTCTATGGCCCCTTCACTTTCTTTCCGTGGCAGAGATTCAAACCCACGCCTCTTGAGTCCTAGTTCATCCCTCTATCTGCTGCACAGGTCATACTGGGTATCTAGATGTCCTGTATAGCCCAGTCTATTTATTCAGTGTACTGTATTGCTCGACATGTACTGCTTTTGAGACTTTTTCTGGATGTTGTTAGCATGGAGAAAAGGGCAATCCATCATTTAAAACCTAGGACCCCATTTGTTGAAATATATGCATAGATCATTCCTATTTCTTTCAACAAGAACAAGTAGAATTAAAAGCACCATGGCGCATTGAAAGGAATTTACATATATAACTATGTACATAAAAATATAAGCAAGTTCCCCAACAACTCCCCTTATCTTAGGTAAACCAGCAAAAATAGTCTGACCGTAACTTTAAAAAGAAAATTTTAAAAGGAAGAAACAATAGTTACTCGCAAAATTGTGTCCTCAGAAACTTGAGGTGAAGTTATGGGATGGTTCGTGGTAAAACGCCGAGTCAAATAGTCAGCGGGCACCAAGGCTGAAGAAAGGAACACTTCGCACGACGTCTGATAAACCAGAACTAACGGCACGGGCAAAACTTGCCTCAGAGAGCAAAAAAAAAAGGTTAAGTCCCTCCCCCCCAGTGGCGGGAAGGAAAGCGAGCTTTTGATTGGTTGCTTAAGAACAATTGAACAATCAATCAATTATTCTCTCTTTCCTTTCCGCCACTAGGGGGCAGGGGCGTAACCGTTTTTCTCCCTGAGGCAACTTTTTCCTGTCCGTTAATTGCGGTTTAACGGGCGTCGTGTGGAGGGTTCTGCTCAACCTAGGTTACATAACTGCTCGTTTTGCCACGAACCGTCGATCGGTGTCCTTCGTACCTAAGCATGCTGAGTTGCTATACATTTCAAAAGAAACAAGTCGGATTAAAAACACAATAAATGATGCATTAAATAGGAATTAAGCCATATTAATTAAGAAAAAGACATCAAATGAGAAATTAAAAGCTTGGACAGATTTTAAAGTTTCTCAAGGGTCAGGAATGCTACCCATTATGCATAATCTTTATGGTGTGCATAACTTGTGTTTCCCATCATTTTTTTAAACTACAGTACGTCTTCCATATTCTGTGCAGCCATTGCACTTTGACACGTGTCTGCTCAACTATATCCGTGTGCGTGTAAAATATAAATCTCGGGCTACAGTCCAGTATGAGGGTAAAGTTGTAATGCTATACTGATGGACGAGGGAGGGGGACGAAGCCACTCACCCAAATGGGAATTTTACTTTTGAGTAGACACAGACAGGATTGCAACATAAATTTCCCCGGCCTGAACTTGCGATCCTTGAATACAACTACTGTATTTGGAAGTAAGACTCCAGTGCAGCTATTTGCAGGCAAGACTCCAGTTTAGGTGCAAATATATAATTATTTGGAATCCAGTGGAGTATTTACTTGAGAGGAAACTCGCACAGGGCAAAGTGTGTCTTGGTGTTTTAAATGTGTTTTCAAGGCTTTGTAAAAGTGTGTGACTTCCGAACTGTTCGGTATTATTGAAGCTATCGGGAAATACAGATTAGTTGAAACGAGAGTGAACACGTGTAAGCAGTAGCACTAATGATTCTTTCCAAATTATTTCAAATAAAAATAATTTTCTTTTGCATGGAATTGATGCCTTTCTTTTATTTAAGAAGACTGGAAGGGCTGAAAAAAGTTATCTATCTATTTGAATATAAAATCGATCGATCGATCTGCATCCTTTTTCCAGAGTTATTGGGCAAGGCAACTATGGGATAACTGGATTGGACCAAGAAATTATAGATCTTCCCATCCTGGACCAGGTTTCTGCAAAGTTCTCTTTCTGGACTATAAATCCCAGCATCCCCTATTTAGCATGATCGGTGAGAGTGGGAGCTGCCATGCAACCTTTGCAAAGCAGTTCCCCCCTCTCCACACAAAAAAACAATAGCCATTTGATAACATGGGCGAGGGGGAAAGAGCAGGTAAGAATGAATAGAAGTGAAAGAGTTTCAAATCCTAGAGTGGCACTGAGGGGGGCAAGGAGGAGGAAGGAATCCTGAGCCGGAAGAGCCATACCGGTCCCAGTGGGGGGAGGGGAGGAGCATCCTTTGATCTCGTCCCAGATGCATCTCCCTGTCCCGGGAATTTGGTGAGCGCAAAATGCATGACTGTTTAGGTGGAAATAGATGGAGTTTAAAAAAAAATACGTTCACATATTTTATATGAAGTCTTTATATATCACATATATTGTAAAAAATTATTTTCATATATTTTTATACTTCGATGTATATTATGTATAATGTAATATAATCCAATAGAATAATATATAATAT